CGGCTGATTCTCCATCACATGCGCCATTGCTTCTAAAGCAGCAGTAAGTGCATCATCATTCCTCCCAGCCATCTCAACTTATCACTACAACATAAACATCGGTTAGAACTCAAATTAACAATACTCGATTTTTAGACAACTACGACTCAACAACTTGGCCGGACGGACCAACTTTTGCTCTGATACCAACTTTTTAACACCCCAACTTTACCCCGAAAATTATATATGTAAATCAGAGTTTTAAAAATTCATACAACTGAATCAGGATGCCACAAATTCAACTTAAAACACATTGCATTCAACATGGACACATAACACTTTAAAACCTCGGATGAACCATCAGCATAATAATTTAATCTCTTAATTCAACAACTTGAACATCTACGCAGCGGAATCATAATAACATCTTTGTCCAACAATTACAGCAACTTAAAAATAATACATACTTAGCAACAATCAAATTAAAGTTCAACAACTGAAATAATCAATAATTAAAAGCAACAAGCATTCACCCCCTTGAGTGTTACGTATCAGAGCAATGACACCGACTCGAACTACCGAAGGTATACTGCCTACACTCTGGATTACTTGCACGTTACCAACGTAAGGGTAACATTCAAACAAAAGGGGTGAGATATCTAGCAATATAATAAAACGTGTGATAAATAATATGCTAGATCAGCTCATATAATAACACCACTTCACATCTCATAAACAACAACAATTACAACAGAATACCAACAATATACACATTTACCGCATCAATACACAACTTCTTTATGCAATCATATAATGCGACTCAATACTATGCAAATGTATGTGGTACCATTGGAGCAGAACTCCCATCTCAAAATAATTGCCAATAATTAGATGCATCAACAAGGCATAAGCCTTCATCTTAATATTCGCCAATACATGCCATCTTAACGAGCAACAACTCCATCTTGAAATGCAATGTATGTGACACAATCATGAATGTAGTAACAACAACCATAATTAACAACATCTCAGGACAACATCATCGTTGGCCAGAAGCCTACATCTTAATAGCTGCCAATTATTAGAGGCATCTCAACATCATTCGTCAACATCATTCATCGCATAATTCATCAACATAATTTTATCAACATAATTTTACAGCAACTCAGCCATAACAATAATACAACGACAGATCAACAATTCCTCAAAGTTGGCCATAGGCCTACAACATGATAATGCCTATATTTAATTAATCATCTAAGGCTTATCTCTAATTACCAAACTTCTACATATTATTATTCTGCAATACTACATCATTATCATCATTAATTTTACTATTATGAACCAAGCAATAATCTATAATCATCTTATCCTCATCATACTTCACAAAATCATCATAACGATTAACGCGGGAAGCTAAATCTAATCCTAATTTGGGTACTAGGAATATTATTCTTATCCTTCATTTTAATCCTTAAGAATGAAGTTCATCGCGTTAGCTATCCAACAGTTCAAACAACACCTCAAACGGAGTCCGGAAACTCAAGTTACAGCCTTTGGAAACGAATCTGCCAAAACTCAGACTGCATGGGTCGACGCATAATCTTTTGAGTCGACGCGTACTAGGTTAAAATCCTGCATGAGTCAACGCGCAATCCTCTTGTATCGACTCATACTAAGTCTGCCACACTGCATGTATCGATGCATAATCCTATGTATCGAGTCATCCTGAGTCCAAAAGCCTGCATGTGTCGACGCATGGCCTTTGAGGTCGACTCATACTGTTCTGTCACGAATATTTTCTGCGATTTCACTGCGTTTTCACTGCGGTTTCCATGCCTTAGGCCCTAAAAACATCCTCTAATCATAGGTAATCATCAATTATAATAATCTTATGTTTCTACATCAATTATACAACATTAGGGCATCATTACTCATCTCTAAATCATCGATCTTCATCAAACAACAATATATATAATTCAATCATAAACAAAACAACCTTTAACATATAATCCCACATACTACTCATCATAAATCCTATTATAGAGTCAGAACCCCACCTTTACCTTGGATTGAAGGTTGCTCTATAAGTTTTCCGATTGATTTCCGTTCTGGCTCTTTTCCTTCTTTTCTGCAACTTTCACGTTCTCTTCCAACCCTTATTTCTTTCTCTTCTTACTTCTTCTTCTTTTCCTTATTATATCTAAAAACTAATATAATAACCCTATAATTCTCATTATGTCTTAATGGGCTTAAAACTCCTACACCCCCTTTCTACTACTTCTAGTCCTTAAAACAAGCCCACATCAAATAATATTATTATTCTAATATTATTCCACAACTTAATAGAATAATCAAATCCAATAACAACAACACATTAACTATCATCATAATAAAACTTCACAAATATTCCAAAAATAATTTAATTAAATAATTAATTAAATTACGGGCGTTACATAGTTCCCTTAACGTTCACCTTGAAGAACATCTTCAAAGCATTCACGCAGCAAGTGACGTTGAAGTTGGACGAAAACAAATTCTCCTAGAAACAACAAATCAAAGGTATTATTCGCACGCATCGTCTTCACCGTACCTAGTAAATCCAATTATCCCGCCGCGCTACGTCTCTGATGAAGATCGCACTGCCGATAAGGAGAATCTGACGTTTCTCGCTTGGGGGCAGCAAGATTCGTTGTTGTTCACGTGGCTTCTCACCATGTTATCCAATGTTGTTCTTCCTCGTGTTATCAGGTGTGTTCACTCTCATCAAATTTGGGATGAAATTCATCAATATATCTTTGCGCACACAAATGCGAAATCGTGACAACTACGCTCGAAATTGAAATTCATAACCAAAGGGGAAAATTCGATTACTCAATATCTTGCTCGCATTCAACAAATTATTGATATACTTGAGTCAATTGACGATCCAATTTTACATCGTGATCATCTTGAAGCAATTCTTGATAGATTTCCCGAGGATTATATTGCCCTAGCCTCATCCATCCAATATCGTTCAATTTTGTGCCCTATTATTGAAGTCGAGTCTATGCTTCTTGCTAATGAAGCAAAACTGGAGAAATTAAAGAAATTTGCTCTATCTGAGCCTCTCTCTGTTAATGTTGCTCAAGCCACACTTGCTGTTGCAGATCCTAGTGCACCTAACTCCACCAATGTGATACAATATGTTGTAATTCTTCATATAGTGAAGGACGTGGAGGATTTCATGGTGGAAGGAATCATCGTGGCAGATGTGGTAGATATGGTGGCATAAACAGAGTTCACTGTCAAATTTTCTCAAAACCAGGACATGATGCTAGCATCTATTATCAGAGACACTATGTTGTCATGCCTGTTATGTGGAATGCTACTTCACAGCATCAAAGACCAGCCTGGAATGAATGGAATAATCCTAGCTTGACTCAGCCTATGGCACAAAGTGGTTACAATCAGTGGATGCCTACTTCTATAACTCAAGTTCCTATGTAAAATCAATGGATCTCTCCGACTCTTAAGGGGCCTTCTCCTGGTTTTGCTCAAAGGCCTGTGTATCAACCACAAGCTCATTTTACTGGAGTAGGATTTCCAGCACCAACTGATTTCACTCAGCAGGTTCAACCTTGGTATCCTGACTCAGGAGCTACACACCATGTGACCAGCAATGTTGACCATCTGTCTGAAAGTGTAGTGTTACCTGGCACTGACCAAATTATGCTTGGTAATAGCCAAGGTTTTCCCATCACTTCAATTAGAACTTCTTATTTTGATTGCCCTTGCACAACACACACTCCTCTCACGCTAAAAAATCTTTTACTTGTGCCTCATATCACAAAGAACTTGATGAACGTGAGCAAATTTTCTAAGGACAACAATGTCTACTTTGAATTTCATCCTGATAAGTGCTTTGTCAAAACACAGGGTGATTCAATAATTGTTCTACAAGGGCTTCTAAATAAGGATGGTTTGTACACCTTTAGGTCTTTACAACCAGCTTCCAAGTCTACTTCAGCTTCTCATGCTTCCATTAATAATGTGTCAAAGGTCTCTGTGCAACCCACATCTCTTTCTCCCTTATCATATACCATGTGGAATAACAGGTTGGGCCACCCCACCATGAAGCATTAAAGACTATTCTGCAACTATGCAACACCCCTGTTCCTCATAAATCTCCACTGGATTTCTGCACTCCTTGCTGTTTCAGAAAGATACACAGATTACCTAGCACACTTTCTCACACAAGTTACACTTCTCCTTTTGATTTGTTATTTGCTGATGTATGGGGCCCTGCTCCTATGGATCCCAGTTGTGGTTACAAATATTTGCTCACTTGTGTGGATGCTTATACAATATATACCTGGGTTTTTCTTATTAAATTGAAATATGATGCGTGCCTCACCTTCACGCACTTTATCACTGCTATTGAAGTTCAATTTTATACTCACCTTAAAGCTGTGCAAACTGAAGGTGGAGGGAAGTTTAAATCTCTCACTTCTTTATTTTACTCAAAAGGCATTGCTCATAGGCTTGCCTGTCCATACACACACCATCAAAACGGCTCAGTTGAGAGGAAGCACAAGCATGTGGTTGAACCAGGGCTAGCCTTGCTTGCTTAAGAAATATTACCCCTTAAGTTCTGGGATCATGCCTACTTAAATGCTGCATATTTGATTAACAGAATGCCTACCCCCTTGTTAGGTATGAGGTCCCCTATCTCATGCTCTACAAAAACAGTTCTTGACTATAAATCCCTTAGAGATTTTGGTTGTGTTTGCTTTCCACATCTCATGCCATACTCTGCTCACAAATTCAACTTTCATTCTCAAGAGTGTATATTTCCGGGGTATACTTTTAATCACAAGGGTTTCATGTGTTTGGCCTCTAATGGCAGAATTTACATCTCTAAGGATGTTGTCTTCAATGAGGCTAGATTTCCTCATATGTAGCCTCTTCATCCACTTCATCACAAAATACTCCTTCTGTTGCATTTCCTACTGGCCTTATGACTCACATATTGCCTCAACCTGCCATTCCTATGTCTATAAACTCCCCACCTACCACTCCATCCTTAACTTCTTCTTCTCCTAACACTCCATCTGGGTCTCTCCCTAATACCATTCCTGATATAATCTTTGCACCTGGTTCCAAGAGTCCCTCTCTACAGCAGGCTACCTCCTCTATGCCTCAACTATCATTTGCTTCCTCCACAAACCCTTCTACCAGGCTTGCACCTCCCTTTATTCATCCTTTAAACACTCATGCTATAACTACAAAGGGCAAGAGTGGTATAATTCAACCCAGAAAACACCCTACAATTCTACTGACTGATCTGGAACCTTCCTCTTATAAGGTTGCTCTTAAATATCCCAAATGGGTGGCAGTTATGGAGGAAGAATATAATGCCCTCATTAAGAATCATACTGTGATACGGTGGGAGAACTGACTTGGGTGTTTTGCGTTTTATCATAAATGTTGCAGATATCAAGAGTCACCACCGACTTTTCTTTTATCCAATGAAGGAAAGGATGAAAAGAACAGGAAAAACCTTTTGAGAATTTTCTTGAGTTCGGGGGGTAGATTATGAAAAGGGAAGGTGTTAGTACCCTTTTCATCCGTAGTTATCTATGGGCTCTTAATTGCTTGATCACTTTGAAATGCTTTGTGTTTGTGTAAGTTTGAAAATATTTTGAAAACGCCTAAGTTTGGCAAACTTTACAATGATTCTCCTATCGTTGAGAATGTATACAAAGTATTGGTTTTAAAAATATTTGTTGAAAGGAAGTGTTTGGAAAGATGTTTGAAAATGGCAATGTAAAGCCATTTTGTAATGATTCTCGTATCAATGAGAATGTATACAAAATGTTTGTTTGAAAGGTGTTTTGAACGTGTGAGGTGTGGAAATGATTTTAATCGTGACCAAGCAATTACGAGCAATCTACCTACTCAAAAAAAACTTTGTTCTTTTCCTCCTCCTTTAGATAGTGCTACTTTACCATTGGTTGATAGAGAGCCTTATTATTGGATGTTTGGGACATGCGTGGGTCATTGTACAGTAATAGAAGGCAACTTGTAAAATGTTTTAGAAAATGTCGTAAGGGACTAAGATCATTTATCGAAGGCAACATTGAAGGGCCATCGAGGGACTGTGATCTTTTAATCGAGGGTCTTTTGCCAAAATATCTCACATTCGAGGGACATGACTGTTTTCATCCGAGGCAACAAGTGTGGGTTACCCTAAGGGTGCAAGTGTGCAAAGTGTTTTTATTTCAAGTATTTATCTTTTAATTAGGGTTGTCTAATATTTGATTTTTAAATCTTGTCATGCAAACCCTAATTACTAGCAATAATAAGGAAAGCGATAAATTACCGAATTTAAATGTCCTATGCTATTACAACGCTTCGGGAATAGGGGTGGGTACAATTTTGTGAATAGGGGGGAGAAAGCAATAAAGCCCTAATTACTATTACAAACCAATGAATATTAATTACAATAATAATACACAAAATATAAAGGTGAAGAAGAAAAGAAGGCAATTGTGTTTAGGGTTTTGGATAAAAAGGTTTAGAGATTATCCTAATTGAACTACTTAATTAATTTACAAAAAAATAATAATTATTTAATCAAAATCTATAATCTAAGTTTATTGAAATTAAGAAGAAAATAACCCTAATACTAAGTAAATTTAATTAGAAAATAATTTAAATGTTAGTATTAATTTGGAAGATGTTTTACAATGTAAAAGAAAATAATAGAATTTAATTTAATCAAAAAGAAATGAAGTATTTAAATTAAAATATTTTTAATTTAAGAAAATATATTTTTTGTATTTTTAGTTTAAATAAAATAAATAAAGAAATAAAAATAATAAAATATAAAGAATATGAAAATATTGGGCTAGTGGGGTTTAAAAAGAAAGATGGGAGTTTAAAAGTAGCAAAAAGGGCGCTAGGCCCAAAAATGTTTTTTTTGTTTAGTCAGAAAATAAAATAAAATAAGAAAAGAGATGGCCCTGAGTATAAGTAAAAGGGGGGTGAGGGCTCAGAAATAACTCAGGCCCAAACACAAATGTTTAGCGCCTGTTTTGATTATGTGTGGCTGGTTTTTGAAGGTGTCTCATGGTCCTGCTTATATGGAGCGTTGGATTTAACCTTGTGATGATCATATGAAATTAATGTGAGGCTTCATGGTGAGCATGCATGGGCTTGATGCACTGAATCTGCAAGGGAAATATGAAGAAAAAAAATACAAAAGGGTACCACTGGGGCTCGAACCCAGATCCCTATAGGGTAATGCCTTACGCACGCTTTTTCTGCCACTGGGGTGGCTGTTTCACCCGTGTATAAAACAACAACTATTAAATATAAAATAAACTCGTTCCTAATATTTTGAACTTCATCTTCAACCTTACGCGCATATCTGTTGGCTTGGAATTTCTATTACAACAGTTGTTTGAACGCATTAATATTGTTTTTGGTGTTTGAGTTTCGTTTGGATTGAATTGAGTAAAAGCCCATACATTTGGAATGATTCGATGGACAGACAAAACGAATATAATAAATATCCGTTGTATATTTTTGAAATCAAAAGTTTTTTGGATATACACGTCGAAAACTTGGCGCCAACAGAAGTGAAGAATTCGAATTTGAAATCGAATTTTTGAGTCACAGAAGACGCGTGGAAGTCTGGTGGGTTCGAAGGACATGCAATCTTCGAACGTGGCACTCTATTATATAAATACCGTTAGGGTCAAATTAGTATAAATATGGATCTTAATATTAGGATTCAAGGGTGTTCATTTTGTACAAATGATTCAATACACTAGAAGTACCCTGTGTTAGAGAAAAGAGTTGCAGAGAATGTATGTATAGACACCATTATGGTTCTTTTCGAACCATTTTACTTTATCAATATCAAGTCTTTTAACATTTCCAGTATTTCCTTTACTTTTCAGTCAAAACTTTTATTTTTTTAAGTCATTTACATTTATTCTTCATTTCCTTTACATTTCTTTACGTTTCCAGTCGAAACCTTTTCATTATGCATTTGAAATCCTTTTATTCGAACTTACTTTAAATTATAATTTCAATCTTTATATTGTTATCAACAAAATAATGTTAAACATGAATCCCATTACAATTTTAATCTTAGAAACTTAGACACATGTCCTAGGATCAATCTAGTCGACTCTGCAAGTTACCAAAGTATTTAGTTTGGAAGACCAGCGGTTATTTACCAAATTCATGTGTAAACAAATTGGCACGCCCAATGGGATCGTGTTGAAGTTTTTGAATATTTGTATTTTTTGTAAGCGTCTATCTTCCATCATTTATCTTTTGAGTTTGTATTTCGTTATTGTTGTATGAACCTTAGAAGTGGTAAAATAGCCAACAGTAACCAACCAAAACCCAAAAGAAAATATCCAAGAAAGATGGTTAACACAACTGGCCATGACGGGGAACAAAATCCCCCACAGGGATCAGGCACGATTATTGCAAGTTCAATGGATACATCAACCACAATGCCTCACACACAGGCCATACCTAAATCTATAGGTTCAGTGGCCATAAATAATTTGACAACCATGCCTCTTTCTTCGAGTACAAGGGGTGTTATACGGTGGCAGAACCGACTGTTATACTAGTTTTGCATTTGTATTTGTAAATGTTGCGGTAAGCAAGAGTCGCCACCGACTTTTCTTTTATACAACAAAGGAAAGGGTGAAAAGAACAAAAAAAACATTTCGAGATTATTTCTGAGTAAGGGGGATAGATTATGGAAAGGTAAGGTGTTAGCACCCTTTCCATCCGTAGTTATCTACGGGCTCTTAGATGCTTAGCTCATTTTGAAGTACCTTGTGCTTTGTGTGTTTTGAAAAGTATTTTTGAAATTCCAATAGTAAGGCAATTTGCTTTATGATAACTCTTGTATCAGTCCTCAAGAGTGTTGATAAAACATTTTAAAAATGTTTTTGAAAGAAGTTTTGTGCAAGTGTGAAAGTTGTTTGAGCATAACATCTAGGAACTATCTACTTTTACTCGAAAGGGTTGTTCTTTTCCTCTTTTCCTTTAGACAATGTTATCCTACTATTAGTGAGTAGGTAGCCCTAGTCGTTGGATGTTTGAGGGACAATTAAAGGGATGTTTATACAGTCACAAAGGCAACTGGGCAAGAAACCTTAGTAACTACCCTAGGGCATTAAGATCATTTTTACCGAGGCAACATCGAGAGGGTCATCGAGGGACTTATGATCTTTAAACCAGAGGGTAGCCACTAAAATATCTCACGTTTCGAGAGTTGTGGCTGTTTTTCCAAAGGAAACCAAAGTGGGGTGTCCTAGAGGTGCGCATGTGAAACTGTGTTATATTTTGTTATTTATCTTCGCATTTAGGTTTTCTAGCGTTTGATTTTAATCTCTTTCCATACAATCCTATTAGTCATGCATCTAAGCAGTTAATAATTTGCAGTAATTAAAAGTGCAGAAATGTAAATCTAGCTATTACAAGGCTTCGGGGAGGGGGGTTAATTACATGTCCAAAAATGGGGAATAAAGCAGAAAGAGTAAAAGTCCTAGTTTAAATCTATTACATCCAGTAGGCAGTTACAATAGTATAAAAAATAGTAATGCTAAAATAAAATCGCGCGCGAATTAGAAAGGACGTCTAAATCCTAAAGAAAATGAAATCTTCTTGTTTGTTTTTGTTTAATAAAAGAGAATAAAATCTAAGTCTACTTAATTTTAATTTTAAGAAAATGTTAAGGTAATTAATTAATTAATTAACAAAATTAATTTTAATAAAAAAACTAAAACCTAATTTTTTTGTGGTTTTTATCTGATTTTATAATTAAATAAAAAAAAAGTAATTAAAAAGAACAAAAACAAAAATGGGCCAGGCAGCGAAAGTAAACAAGGGGTGGTATGGTTTGGAAAACGTTAGGCCCAAACAAACAGAACCCAGGAGCTGCACTGGATCCTATGTTGCTAGCCTTTGAGGGTATACCATGAAGCTTCATGTTGAGGCGTTTAGATCTGGATCAGATTGTGATGATATGATGATACATGGTATATGCGTTTGGACTTGAAACGCTATATCTGCAAGGAAATGGTTAGAAAAACAAA